TTTACTTCGGTTTTTGTTCCGTTTTTACTTATAATGTTCATTAGGGTAAATTTGGATTTGATTGATGATGGTGGAAATGCTCGTACTTGATTGCTTGCTCGAGTAGATAGAGTAGTCAATTGCTTGTTGATCTCGGTTAGACAACTAGGGTTAGCAATCTAATGCTCATAGCTCGTTTATTCCGTATGTCGATTGATTATCATCCCGATATGGTTATGGCATGAGACTCCAGTGATCTAGTTTGCTAATTGCTCGTGATTTGATCTTGGTTTTAGTTAATTGCTCGTTTTTAAGTGCTTGTTTAGTGTTAATCAACCATCCAATCAGTTGCTTAGAATGTTTAGGATTTTATTTTTCCTTTTTGTGATTTGGACGATCATTTAGTAGATAAAGCTCCGAATAGCCTTCCCTCGAGATCGACCCAAGTCGGGTAACTCGGTTATCATTTGCCCATCAAATCTTTACTAAACAGCTACCTACAAATTCAGGGGCATGAGTTTCATCTCTATTTATCCCTCCCCATTTAATATCAGCTTCTACATGACACTCAAACATCCTATCATCTTCATCATATAGATCACAATCACTCTCAACAAGCTCATTAAAAAATTCAGAGTCTGGACCAAAAGATTGGAGTTCAAAATCACTATCAGAGTCACTATCAGATTGGACTTCCAAATCATCACCCAAATCATCAATATTCTTTTTCCCCCAATTGTCAATCATATCATCTTAATCATCCCTACCATCCCCACAAAAGGCAAGAGTTCATCAACAAAAGGTAAATCAACAGATGGTTGAGTAGCTATCCTTGTGCCCATGTTTTCCATATGTTCAACATATAAACCGACCATTCTATTACTATCAACCCAATTAACAAGATTTATAGCATCCATGTCATTTTGCAAGACAAACACAGACCGACAATCATTTACACCACTTCTACTACAATACACACACTTAACATCTTTTATCCTAATTTCAGAAGCCATACAGAATATTCCAATCAATGAGAGTTCATCAGGGTCATAATAGTCAATGTGCCTTACCCTCATGTGCTCACCAATGTAACAAGTGTCACCAAGTTCCAGAAATTGCCCACCATATTGAAATGAAATGGTAAACAATTGTGAATTGGGACCTGAAGGGACAAGAATATTATACAAATCAATATCAAATTAAAAAAAAAAAATGAATAAAATATTAAACTAATAGGGTCAAAATCTTTTTCACCCCATTATAAATCTATTCTTTCTTTTACACACCGCCCCATCAAATAACTTCTTTTACACCCCAAATCTCACGAAATGCTATGCGATATTACACTCGCATGTCCAAATGAACCAGCGCATATCCAATCGACCGCATAATTTATGACAATGCGTGAACATTTCGCATTTTTTTAATCGCATATCCACATCAAACGCATAATTTAGAAATGTGCGAACATCTTTCGCATTTTTAATAATCGCATATACAAATCGATTGCAGCATAATTTTCGATGATTATGCGCTTTCTTATCGCAGGGCTATATCAACCTTGTAAATTTATGACTGCGAAAATATTTCGCATCTAATTCGCATAGTTTGTTGAATACGCATTTTCTGGTAATTGCATATCCAAGTCAATCGCATAATTTACTAATATGCGAAACAATTTCGCATATATCCTCCGGATAATTGATAATTATGTGACATTTTTTCGCTCGCATATTTAAGAATCGCATAACCAAATCGAATAAAGCATATTTTTTTTACGATTATGCGCCATTTTTTCGCAGGGCCATATCGACCTGGCAATTTTACGACTATTCAAAATTCGTTCGCAGATCTTTCGTATAAGTTGCGCACCTCATTAATTAATTGCTTTTTCACAGGTGAGGATTTGTCTATGCATTTATCATGCAGGCAAAAAAACAGCGATCTCTAACAATTTAACGCCTGCACCATTCATCTACTGTATTTTTCTGTTTCTTTTTTTTTGGTTCTTTTTGTTGTTCACTTATTTGAATGGCTAGCAACCGTGTTAGAGTATTGGTG